CACTTGGTTAGGTTGTGCTCATTACAATTTACTGATCTGGTTTTGTATTGATCATTATTTATGTATTTATCACTCAAAATCTGCTTGAACGACCTGAGGCGGCGCGCCCGCAAAATCGCCCCGGTCCCACAAAAAGCCAAAACTCGCGTTGTCGTCAACGTGTTAAGGACCAAGCCTAGGAGGGAGCAGAAACTCTGGGAAAAATAAATATGGCTCACGTAGTACCCTGAAGTCTCGCCTCCCCTGCCCAAGGCTGAGTCCCATTAATAAAAAGAATCGTACGACGCAGTTTCAATTGCTACGTCACCACAATGCCCCCCTTTGTTGTGATAGCGCTGAATTTAATATGTAAACATTCAGATTTATCCAAGCACCTGGCAAACGAAATGTGGCTTATAAATGCTCCATAACCAGAGATAAGAGAGGAGTCGACAAAGGTATTTATCCCACATACTACCTTCATCTAGAAAGGGAAGACAAAAAGAAGGTACCGATTTGCAGACTTTTTTGGCGCCAGAGAGGAATAATCATTTCTTCTTTACAGATTATTCCTTCTGGCAGCTCGACGGCGAAAGAAAAGCACAACAGCCAACTATCTCATATCAACCGACGCCACCGATTTGAAAAGGGAAGGCACAGCGTTCGTGGGTAAAGTGAGGTAAGTGCGGTCTTCAGGGGAAATTCTTCATACTATAACCTGGACTTTTATGAAAAATAAGAATTGAGATCATTCAGAATAAATGAAAAATTGAAGGGTAAAGAGTTCAGCGTAGATTTCACTTCCGGAATGCGCCACACATTCTACTTCCATTCAAAGTCGAGGTGGCATTAGAATGCGGTAAGCAGTGACTTTCAAGGATTCCTAATGTACAAGTCAGTGCTTGTATCCTTCTTGAAGAAGTCTGTTACCGAATGGCTTCACCCCGCGGAGTGGAAGACGTGGTTGGCCTAGACCATATTTAACCCTCAAACCGTGCCGGTGGGGAGTGGCGCCTTTTTCCACTACGCCACTTCAGCCCGAAATAGGTGAGAGTACTAAAACAGTCAGAGATCAGAATTTGTGCCGATACAAACTTCTGTTCTCCGACTAACTTGCATCGACCTATCCTAAACAATATATGGGAGCGACATTGATAGTCGGAAAATAATTAAAAATTAAAACTATAATAATTTGGGCCGCTCTGGAATGAGTAGGAAAAAAGCGTATCAGAAATGTTATACGGTATTTTTAAGATCTAACGCGATCGGGACGATGTTCACTTTGTACGATTGTGGAGCGAATCCGAAGAAATCGACGATGACAAGCGATGTTCGACAAGAGCTTGCCGCCGTCATATATGTAAGCAAGGGTTTTGATTGGAAGGCTATAATGCCCCTAAAAGGCATTGCATGTTGCAGGACACGAATGTGCTGGGATTCAAAGGGCCTCGTAAAATGCACATACTAATCCCTGGTATCTACGATGTGAACACCTATGAACGCAAATCGATTCGTCCAGTGGCGGTAGGCTGATGTTCTACAAGATGTTTCTCTCTTTTCCTTCTTTTGACCATATTTTGATCTTGATTTTGAAGGTATTATCCACTAATACAAACTCTTTTACAATAAGATGAAGTCTCCTGTCACCTTTGGAAAGATAGAATGCAAGTCTTCTGTCAAACAGAGGTGAGAGTGTAGACAAAAAACACGTGCCTAGACAATAAAAGAAGAGATGAAAGCTAGAGTGAGGATGTGTAGCAGAGTCAACCCTGCGTTGCGCAGTTCGCAACGGCACGTTGAGAGATCCTCAACGCACGCTGTATGGGCGGAGACACAGACGGCTCGAGCATGCGAGTGTGAATGTTCGCGCGAGAGAACGTGTCTAATCGGGCGAAACTGCGCAACGTGGCCGTTGAAAACTGCGCAACGCAGGGTTGACTCTGAGTGTTAGACTCTCAAGCAACACTACAAAACCCTGCATTCCCCACCTTCACGGTTGACAAATGTCCTGAGTCCACGAGTGATGCTGGAAGCTTCGCAAGTGCAGAAGTATCGACAAGTCTACGACTTAAAAAGCATAGTAATTGTTGAGGCCTACCACTTATCAACGTGACACACTGGAGCAACATGCATGGCTACTGGTTGATCGATCTGTTTCTTCTCGCTGCGCTACTGTCTCGGGGGGAGGAGGGGAGGTCGGGGAGCACTCAGCACGACGAACCAGGAAAGACTGATCACCTCAGATTCCCTCTTTCTTTGTGGCTCATGATAAGTCCCAAAACGAGCGGTCCCGTAAATCTGATGCATGCTTGCGGAGCTTACATGGCTTTTTGGTGTTTGGCATTGGCAATTCCGCACTTTTATATATCCCCCAACTATAGTCATCTCGTCTTATCTTCACTGTCCCAATATCGCTTGTCTCTGCTGAGAGACGCTAGGCGTCCATGAACTAGAAAAGCGGGAAAAAGGATTCGGCTTTTTCAACATAGCGCGTCCACCTTTTCGTCCCACATTCACTTTCCAAGCGGAAGAATGATACTCACTTGTTCATTCATTACTTAAAGGAGGAATTTCACGATTAGAATGGAGGTCGAGGAAGAAGTAATTTACCTAGTTGAGTAACCCACGGACCTCCTGAGGGTGCGAACTGATGCGCAATTCGCATCGAAAAATTTGACCTCGGCGACCTATTATGCCTCAAAGTTGGCGGGTCTGGCGATCTCCGCCCACCGACCAGCTGATCACTCGCCGCAGATCTATACGTGGCGATTGATAGATAGCAGAGAGAGCGTGATGTTGAGGAGGGCACAGCGATAAGAGTCGCATCAATGCGCAAATCAAGCGGGCAAGGAAGGGGTCCATTTCTCGGGTTCTGGGCCGTTTCTCATGGTTCTTCCTTCTTTCGTGTACCACTCACCATCCCTAGGTTAATTTGAAATGGGTTGCTTTTCATCGTGAATTCGTCCTTTAAAGGGAGTGAACCATTTCCTTATCCTACTTACCTTATCACAGATGTGGGCTATTTGAATATTGATAAAAAGAGCAAATATTTAGAAATGACAATGGTGGACACGAAATCGATCTGCCATATTCGTCCCTTTTCACAGATTTCTATATACATAATGGTATTCCTCCATAGGAAATTATTCAATCGAAAGCAGCAAAAAATATTTGAAAGCTTCCGCGTCTTCTTATTGTAATATGTCGGCACAGACATTCAATTTTGAAACTATTTTCTGTAAGCTGTAATGTATTACGTACTTGACACTTGATCTAAGTGGGGGTGGACGTGCTAAATGCAAACGTGAATCCTTGAGCTCTTCCTTGAATTTATAGCCGAAAATCAAGAATAGTCTTCACCTCTCAAGTGTTATAATTGAAAAAAAAACAGCGAGGCTGCAAGAATAGAAGAGTTGCAGAACTCTCAAAGGCCGAGTTCTCGATGGGAAGGCAGTTCATCAGAAAACAAGGTAGAGGGGTCACTGGTGCCGAGAAGAAAAAACCATGAGGAATCGCTCAAACCCATGACTGGCGCATCCCTTGATGTTCGCCACGAGGACCTTCATCGGTGCTGCTATCGCTTCTCTTCAAATGACTAAGGAGTCGGACGAGGGGGTGATGGGCGACGGCAGCGAGTGGCAACGGGGATGGCCGCGTGAGCCAGCATACTCTTGATTGTTTGGTGAGGATGAAACGTGTTGGACCCTTGACTTAAATCCTAAAGAAACTTACATCAGGATAGATGAAATGTAGTAGTTAAGAAGAGGCCAAATCGAGATTATTTCCGCCATATTCTTCTGAATGCAAATGCAGACGGGTAGCTGTTGTTAGTGATGTTGGAGGGACATTATACCCTTTGTTTCAGAAAATCAGAAGCGCGTCAAGGGCCGACCACTGACCACAAGTGACAGCCTCAAAGTAAATCTGGTACTTATTGATTAGTGATAGGTGGAACTTCTACAACTAGCTAATCATGTCATTCCCAGAAACCATTCACATTTTGTGAGGGCCGTCGTCTTTTGGGGTGTGTCGTCTGCACTCGACGCGCTTCTAGTTTTCTGAAACCGATGGCATTTGTTATATGTGCAAAAATTTTCAGGCCAAGGACACACTTTTGGAGAGGTACCGGCAAAGACGAACGGACGACATCATTGTCATGCAGAACAAAAGCCCAGTGTGGAACGAAGGTATTCTTAACAGAACGATTGAATACTACTGAAACAATTTTGAATTTTTACGGTGCGCCCTCTGAACAATCATGTTACGCACTATTTCGTGGGGAGGGAACTTAAAGGGCGGTTTAAGCTCGTATTGCTGAATAGCGAGCCTCATAACAAGTCTCTCTCTCCCTGCTCAGTCCCACTTTGGGAAGTGCTACTCATCTAGATCGTGACAGCCTGACGCCGTTGAAATGTCCTCACTTCCGCCACTTCATTTCAGGATTGGACGAGTTTATGGCTAAGGTAGAAGCCGTTCCGGTGAAGCTAAAACTGGCATCATTCCAACGGCGATCCAATATGGAGTTGCTGACTTGACGCCCAGTGCAAGATTGCGTTTAGAAAAAGAAAATGGAACGGTGGGGTGACAGTCCCATTTCAAATGGCATGCTGTCATCATCCCTTCCACATGCCGGCCGTGTGCGTATCTGATGGGAACCGGGAGGACTCTTCTGGCACACTAGGCACCGTATCGTGCATTTGTAGCGCTCCCTATGCCCAAGTGGAGCGTTACATCGCACTTTGGCCGGCGCCTTCTGCCATTCCCTCTGATCTTATTTTTCGATGAACATTCGTTTTATCGCGTTTTTTACTTTTTGATTTCACGATCGCGGATCGCTTTGATTTGATGCTGGGTCAACCAGGACTTGAAAGGCCAGCTTGCTTGGAATCAGGTATCGTTAATAACGACAGTACTGCTTCGTTCTTGAAGGTCGAATGGAAGCTCTCAGACGGTTAGGAAGGGGGGGGAATTATCCCTGATGTTTTCCATCGCAAGCATAGTGTTAGATGATCTGGTTGACAAAATAATTCGTGCGTATGGAACATTGTAAGGTCAAAGCGGTGGAGCTTACAGCAAGTACGGCGTCCTCCACTGTTAGGTTGGGAGTTCTGGACCAAAATGGACTGCATGAGCTTAGCAATTGGCCTTGAAGAAGCTACAGAAGCCTGACAGTGTTTGCCTCATACGTCTAAGATATTCGTTCTTCTTTTTGATGATGGACGTGTAGGGTTGCTCTTCCTGGGTCAGACACCTGAAATGGGAGAGGGCAGTTCATCCGGCGGAGCAAGCTTAAGGACTAAGTAGGCACAATTAGGCCTGGGATTTAAGACAGTAGACATAACTTAACTGCTTCTAAACCCAACTTAACCTAGTCTTCAATGTTCGCGCAACTGTTGTGACCTGACCCTAGGAGGAGAAATGCACGTCTCCCTATTGAGTGATCCATTACTCTCCAATTAGAGCTTTTGGGTGGCCAATATTTGTAGTTCGACCCAACGTCGGCAACCAGGTATGCACTCAACCTTCCATAATCAATTCCTGAGCGGCTCCCGTCTTGAAGTGGATCAATCATTTGTGATGAAGTTAATGGCATTTTCTTAACACCTTGACGACAGCGCGGCAACTAGGTTTGCCGCGTTTTGCACGCCGCAATGGACATTGTGGCAACTATAGTTGCCACACCCTTTACATTCAGTTTTTTCTTGAACGCGCCATTTCTTCCAGGTTTTTTGTGTTCATTTTTTAGGCCATACCACAACATAACCAAGAACCACGCGGCTTATAGAATGACCAAATATTCTTTAGTTTGGCAGAGGTTTTTCGGACCGGACGAAAATATCCGTTCAGTTCATTCCTCATTTTCTCTTCATTAACACGAACATGTAGATAAAAAAGAATATTAGAAGTGAGTACAAAGCTACTCGTGTGGCAAGATATGTGTTTTTACCGAAACAACCACGTCCAAAATAATTTTGAAATCACTAAAGCAAAAGTAAGTGAAACTTGCCTTTTCAATGCTGTAACACATCATTCGACCGCACTTTCACATGTGTACCTTCCAATAAGTTTGACACACCGAATATCAGTGAAAACATTTTGTCGCATCGAAGTATTGCGTATTTAAAGCTCAAAATCCACAGATTTGTTGTGAGGCGGCGGCGCTCGCAGAACCGCTCTGGTCCCACGCGGCCAAAAATGCCAAAACGCGCGATGTCGTCAACGTGTTAAAATGTTTTGATGATGCGTTTCTTGTTGCAAATTTATCTTCCATAGAACGAAACCAACGGAGAGGATGAAAGTCAGCGGTCAATCAGATTTCAATTCTCCGCCTGGAGCTGAGAATTTGAATTCGCTTTATGTGGTTTCAGCTCTGCTAAATATTTTCTTTGAAAATCCAAGAGATTAGCTCTGCGCTTTCTCGACCTGATCATTCATGAGAATAGTAAAAGAATACCCATTGGTGCACATATGGACTCTGTTTGCAAGCCGAGCCAGCAACGTTCGGCTTTTGTAATTTACTTTCTCTTGCACAGCCAAAATAGCTTTGTCGTTTTATGTTATCTTAACTTGAGTTCAAGCTCATAGGCACAACATTTGCAACGTTAAAAGCTATGGTCAATAGGGTAGCCATTTTTATCATGGTTCTTCCTGTATTGCGTTGGATACGTCTCTTGAAAATAGTTCCAGCCACCTTTTTACTTTCGCAATCGGCCGATCACTGGAAGGGGACAGCTGAGGGTGCTCCGCTGCTGCCGGATGACGGTTTGACGATCCGACTCTATCGTACAACAGATCTAGTGAGGAAGTGCCCGAAACAATGAGTCGAATCATGATATAAGCTGTGTTGTCCCATGATCATCGAATTGCTCGAGCGGGCGCCAGCATTCGTCTCCATTCGCCCGTGCTAGAGTGGTCCAGTGGATCCTCCTTCGCTCGAGGGACACGAAGTCCTTCATTCCTTTCGTTCAGAGCTTTCGTGAAGAAGTCTGACCATCGGGCCGGCGGTCGTCCAGGTGTTCGTTTGACGTCCCGAGGGATCCAGTCGGTAACCGCTCTGGTCCAACGGTCATCGCAAAATCGCGGCCCACCTTATCTTCGATTCCTTGGCGAAAACGGCAGCGTCCCTGATCTTCGATCGTTGGCGTAGTTCGGAACTCCGGATTCCCCTCTGCACTTGCGTGTATAGGGTTACTCCTAGCATCGTCCTCTCGACAGCGCGTTGGATAACGCTGACCGCATGCTCGTCCTGCCTGCGCAGAGTCCAAGGAGTCGAGAAATACCATTCGCATAATCACTCTGGCGCGCCTTCTACAGCAAACGAAGCGTTTTTGCTGTAGAAGGCGCGCCAGAAACAGCATCAGTCGGCTTTGCAGTTAGAAAGCGTTTGAGATCGTTGTGAAACGCATTTTGTATCCAATGGCTTCATCTTTGTAAAGTTGTCATATTGTGTATCTCTTCAAGCTGTCCTTGTCAAATACCACTTTAAAGTGGTGAACTCGCCCTTTAGACACTGATATCTCTGGTATGTTCGCCATTGGCGCAACACTTAGCACCGCAGTTTCTTTCTAAACGCGCCCAGAATTATCGTATTTACTTTCTCAGGCGCGGACATTCACCAAATAAAGATAATGAAACCATGGGACCATAAAATTATATCTCAAAAGCAACGACGAATTTGGTGATCCATCCAGAAACTTTGCTAAGGGTTGGATGAGTGCGTCCCTTCAAGTACCATATTCATGCCCACTCTGGACGGTTCCATCAAGTGTGGTACCCTCCCTTCAAAAAGCGAGAAAGTGTCGGGTGCAGACCATGCACCACAAGTGACGACGGCCTTCACAAAATGTTAATGTTTTCTGCCAATGAAATGATTAGCCTGTTGCAGTTGTATTCTATCGTTGTCACTAATTACAACTATCATTTACCAGAAATCAGCTATCACTATGAACACTTCTAACCAGATTTACTTGGAGGCCGTCGTCAGTTGTGGTGTTTGGTCTGCACCCGACACTTTCTCGCTTTTTGAAGGGGAGGTTATGTCTTGTAAACTACACAATGTGGGAGGGTGCGCTTATTTTTGTTACTCTCAGAACTCCACTACCCTCACCGTCAAGTGTTTCCATAGTATTTGTTGTTTCTGTGACCAATCGACACGCCCCAACATTGCCCATTTTTTCCCTTTAACGGTAGATCAGCCAAAGGGCAAGGACGAAGGAAAAAAGGGACCAAAGCCACCACTCAAAGTAGAA